AAAAAAAAAAAAAAGCCGGGTGTGGTGGCACACACCTATAATCCCAGATACTTGGGAGGCTGAGGCACTATAATCGCTTGAACCCGGGAGGCTGAGGCTGCAGTGAACTGAGATAGCACCATGGCAGTCCAGCTGGGACGACAGAGTGAGACTGTCTCAAAAACAAAAACAAAAACCCAAAAAACAACTCACACCAGAAGAGTTGAAAGGGCATGAACTATAAAGGAAAGCCTTTCCCAAGAGCAGTCAGTCACTTGCCACCCTGATGTCAGTCTCTCAGACTCTAAACACCTGCCCCAGAGAGTTCTCAGACAAGTATATGGCAAGAGCTGCTGAGCAGCTTTGGATCTTTCAGTGTTGTGAGGTGCCAGAGGCTGTGCTTGTCAACTTTTGCGGTACTTAGAGTCTTAAGCACTGTTTTCCTCCATTCCCATCCCTACCATAACACTGACTGAAGCTTGTTCCCTTCCTCCAGGTCATCCTGGCCCGGCAGTATGGCTCCGAGGGCAGGTTCACTTTCACCTCCCATACCCCTGGTGAGCACCAGATCTGTCTTCACTCCAATTCCACCAAGTTCTCCCTCTTTGCTGGAGGCATGCTGGTAAGTGGGCCTACACGGGAGTTGCAGCTTTCAGCCTTCATCCTTTGTATGCCTCCAAGGGCAGATTCAGTTTCACCTCACATACCCCTGGAGAGCACCAGGTCTGTCTTCACTCCAGTTCCCCAAGTTCTCCCTCTGTTGGAGGCATGCTGATAAGTGGGCCTATGTGAGACTTGCAGCTTTCAGCCTTCATCCTTTGGTGAGGACTGGGGGACTGGTGGTGCTGTGGGTGTGAGAGGATCGTGTCAGATTTTGTGTCTCCTAAAAACGCTGGGTTTCTAGTGGGTATCCAGGACACAATGACTGAGCTCTTTGTATATGCCTCACTCAGAGCACCAGCCCAAGCTTAATACATGCTTGTGTGCCCAGAGCCCCATGGGGCTAAGACACTGAAGAGGGCCCAGTCTGTTGGCTAAACGAACAGATGAAGGAAAGTCGGGGATGAGCTGTCAGTCTCTGGCAGGAAGATGGAGCAGGGCTGCCAGATTTCCCTTATCTCCTTTGTCTGTCCTCAGAGAGTTCACCTGGACATCCAGGTAGGTGAACATGCCAACGACTATGCAGAAATTGCCGCTAAAGACAAGTTGAGTGAGTTGCAGCTACGAGTGCGACAGCTGGTGGAACAAGTAGAGCAGATCCAGAAAGAGCAGAACTACCAGCGGGTGAGTGACTGGGCCAGGAGCAGTGGGCTTCTCCCTAGAAGCTGCCCACTGGCTCAGTCAGGAATTTCACATCAGATTCATTCTGAGACCCCCAAGGGACTGACCTGCACTGCATTGTAGGGTATGGGGTGGGTATTACTAACTCCACCTTGTAATTGGGGATACAGACTCATAAGAAGCTGTCATTTCCCTAAATCACAGTTACACACAGAATGGCACAGTAGGATTTGATACCAACACCTTGGGTGCTGTTTCAGTGGGTCCACATGCTCCCAGGACCAGGGTCTCAAACTTACCGGTGACCAGGAACCAGAGAGTACCATGAATGAATCTGTGACCTGAAGGACTAGCAGGGCAGTGACCCATCTAAACAAGCACAGCCACTATTCAGTGTCACCTGGGGGCCTCCTTGCAGAAATACCAGCCTTGAGTTTACAGATGTCCCATTTTTTTCAAGAGGAAATAGCCAAGATTTTTATGTGAACATTTTAATTTATTTTTTATTTTTTTCTATTGCTGCTGCACAAATTGTCTGGGTTTTAAATGTTGACAAAAGACTGTGCACTGTGTGAGCCCAAAAAAACATACATAAAGGCCAGATCCAGCCCCCAGCCTGCCAGTTTACAGCCTGTGCCCAGCATCTTCAAGGAGCAGCCTGGAGACCTAGGCAGAGGGCATAGAGCACGTCCACTCCTGCATGCTCCAGGACAGCTCTGCCTCGTGGGGTGATACCACAACTACCTTATCTCTCTCCCAGGCACCAGGGCAGGACTAGGTGAGGACTATGCCTGACAGATGAAGAAACAGACTTGGGAGAATGAGTAGGTTGCCTGAGGGTAAAGATAGTCCCCAGGTAGAGTGACACTTTGCAGGCACTTGGTTGGAACCTGGGAAAAGCTGGCTGACCTTGGGCATCCTCTTGGGCTGGGAATGCAGCAGTTCTAGCAGCCCCAGCCAACTCAGGCTCACCTTATATTCCCCTACAGTGGCGAGAGGAGCGCTTCCGGCAGACCAGTGAGAGCACCAACCAGCGGGTGCTGTGGTGGTCCATTCTGCAGACCCTCATCCTTGTGGCCATCGGTGTCTGGCAGATGCGGCACCTCAAGAGCTTCTTTGAAGCCAAGAAGCTTGTGTAGCTGTCCCAGGTGTCACAACCCATCCTCCCAGGCTGGGGGAGAAAGGACCTCCTGGAACTGACTTCTGGCAGGAGGACTGGTTTCCAGCCATACCTGTTCTGGAAGGGAGAGGGGCTGCAGGCACCCACAGGCACAAGCTGAAGGCAGCAGCTTGGCTGGCTAATCCTGAGCAGGTGGTGGGGCAAATGCCTGCCCTCTCTCTCTGGCCTCTGGGCCCTTTGCAGTAATCACCCAGGGGCTGGTAATGTCCCTCCTCTTGGCACCTCCGAATCACAGTGTTACTGATCAGGGATGTGAGGCTGCTGTCGGGGGTGGGGGGAGGGGGATGGGCAGGCAAGCCAGTCTTCTGTCTTCCTTTGCTAACTTAGGGTTTGAGCGGGTTGGGGTATGGTGCCTGTCATACCTACCTGCCACCCTGGGAACCTCACTGTTCTCTATTTCAGCCTAGACCTGCTGATCCCAGTGTGTGTGTGAGTTGAGGGTGGGTGGAGGGGTTTGCAGTGTGGGCATGTGGCCCTGCATTTGACCTCAGCTTCTTCACATGGTTGTCCATTCTGGGGCTTAAAGAACTGGGACCAGACCAAGTAGAGGCCTTGGTGCTGGTTGAGGTGGAGCCTGCAGAGTCTTACTGATTTCATTTTCAATAAATTTAGGTTTGTTACATGAGTTTCCCAATAAAAAAAAAAAAAAAAACTTGTCCAGTGCAAGTTACTCAACCATCAGTGGGCATAACTGGAAGAAGCTTCCGAGAATGTCAGTTCTTCCAAAGAGCAAAGCACTTCACATTCCAAAGTGAATTCCCGCCAGTCGGCTTCATTCTTTCCTCCTTCTCCAGGCCTTCCTGTGGCAGGGAATAGTAGGTTTGTCCAAGATTATACAACAAGTAAATTGGGCTGGTGCTCAAATCTACACCCTTCCCCCCATGCCAGCTCCCTGGTGAAGTCCCCTCTGTTTCTGGAGTCAGCAGCATTGTCACGGGTGCTGCCAGGAAGTGCCTGGTAAGGAGGTGCATTGAGCAGGGAGTGCTACAGGACAGCCACCCTGGGCTGGCAGGCACAAGGGTGTGATGGGCTAAACCAACAGCAAGTGATTTCAACCAGGACCACGAAGGAGAGGAAGGATTCTGCTGGAAAGAGATGGCAGGACAGAGGTGACTGGAGAAGTGGAGGTAAACAGCTGGAATGGAGGTGGATGGGTGTTTTGTTTCGGCTGCAGAGGGTGTTGTGAGGAAGCTGGAAAGGAAGGTTGGATTAGAGTTAGAGAAGCCTTGAGCCCCAGGGAAGCGATTGGGATATGCCCATCTTTCAAGAGGGGCTGCAGGCACCCACAGGCACAAGCTGAAGGCAGCAGCTTGGCTGGCTAATACTGAGCAGGTGGTGGGTAAATGCCTGCCCCCTCCCTCTGGCCTCTGGGCCCTTTGCAGTAATCACCCAGGGGTTGGTAAAGCCACTGAGAGCCCTACTGGCACCTCTGAATCACAGTGTTTCTGATCAGGGATGTGAGGTTGCTGTTGGGGGTTGGGGGAGGCAAATGGGCAGGCAGTTTTGAGAAGAACCTGCTGACAAGAAATGTGAGGAAGGTTACAGCAGTGTGTGAGAAAGACTGGGAAGAAGGAGACAAGTCTGGGGGCTGCTTCCCCTGCTGGGAGGATGCAATCTGGGCTCATGCTGCCAACTAATTCTTCTTCCACATGAAAAAAAAGGTTTTTGGCCGGGCACAGTGGTTCACACCTGTAATCCCAGCATTTTGGGAGGCTGAGGTAGGTGGATGGCTTGAGACCATGAGACCAGCCTGGCCAACATGGTGAAACCTCATCTCTACTAAAAATAAAAAAAATTAGGTGTGGTGGCATGTGCCTGTAATCCCAGCTACTCGGGAGGCTGAGGCAGGAGAATCGCTTGAACCCAGGAGACAGAGGTCGCAGTGAGCCAAGATTGTACCACTGCGCTCCAATCTGGGCTACAGTGGGACTCTGTCTCAAAAAAAAAAAAAAAAA